ATTCATTCTAATAATTGATATTTCTAGCAAGTAGTAATTCTGATATTGTTGAATTCTGAATTTTTAAAATAGGATGAAAAGCACTTAGGCAATTTTTTTTCATTTGCACACAGTATGTTGTGATGCCTGTAGTTATGATTTTAGTTTTACAAATTACCCAGCTATCTCATGTAGTTTGGAGAAAGAATAATGAAAAACAGGTATTTCCTTTGGGATACTTATTTTTAAATCTAAATATTGCCTGGCAACAATTCTTACTTAATAATCTACTCTGATGATCTGATTCAAAGTGAGGGGATTTGACTTTGCCACTATCCTCCATTACTGTCTACTCTGGGAATGAGCAACATCATTATATACTGATGCAAAGAAATCATAGGATTCTCCTGCATGGTTAAGTTTGTCTACTTTCCCTAGAAATGCAATTAATCTTGCCTAAAAAGTCTTGCCTGGATTAGTTTTAAAAGAAGAATCTATATTCATCAAGATATTGAAACAAAGAAGGTACAATCCATAACAGAGAATGGGTTTGAAAATTAAGTTAGAAACAACCGGAAGTGAGAAAATGAGAGAGTTGACCTAGAAGAGCAAATAATGATGTTGTAGGAAAAAGTGAAAGGAAACTAAGCTCATGGCATACATACTATTGGGGGAAAATTAATGAAAGCTTGCAGTTAAAAGGTTACCATTCGAGTCAACACTGTTTTGAACTAAGGTAACAATGGAAAAAACAGAAGAGATGTGAGAAATATTTTGGAGTTGGAGTCAGCAAGTTTTGCAAGCAGGCAATTTTAAGGGGAAAGTGAAAGAATACCGTGGAATTTCAATCCTGGATTGCTAGAGAATAGTGATGTCATAAAAAGGAACAAGGAATGAGGGGAAAAAAGGCTGATTTTGAGGGAATAGGTAAAAATGAAATAAATGACTCCTTATGGTCACTTAGCATAAAAGTTACAGGTAATGTGCCAACGCACTTTGGAGATTAGGTCAATATTTTGCATCTGTAATTTTTTAAGTTTTTGTATGTATGTATTTTTTAAGTTTTTGTTTTATTAGCCAAGGAAGAAAAATGCTGTAGATAAATTATCAGTTTATACTGGAAACAAATCAATGTCTGTAAGGGTATCTACATGCGCTGGTCCCATTTCAACTAACAGAAGAAAAAAAAAAAACTGACTGGTAATCGTCAAGAGCAATATTTTTATTGAAAGCCGAATTTTTATTTTTATTTTCATCTTATGGCAAGATGCCACCAAATTCCTTTAAGAAACCTACAGTTTCAACAGGCTCTGTGGTTTCAACCCAGTGTTTCTTTTGTTACGAAGCCAACATTAAAACCACACAGTTCAGGCAGTTTTTAAAATTCCCTATTTTTCTCCAAAACTTGAAACAGAAAATCGGGACTAATGGTCTGTAACTAATACTTCACATCTCTGCCTCTGGGCTGGCCACTCTTCTCTCTCTCCTTTGGAACCACCAGCCATAGAATGTGAGTAGCAAGATAACTGGAGTAGCAACAGTATCCCTTGTGTTCCCTTTTTATATTCTTTTATGGTCTTCTCTGCCCCTCGGGTCATGGTGATGCTCCCTAAGCTCAAAGTGGGGGGCGATTTGGGAAAAGCCCTGGGCACTGAAATCACACATACTTAGGTGAAACTCTCGTTCTTTCCCTCAACTATGTATTTTCATCTTTGCATTTAATTTTTCCCATCTATAAAGTAGAATATGTATTCTCTTCCTTGTGAGGTTAGTGTATTTGATGAGTGGTATGATAGTGGTTAACAGTGTGGTCCTAAGAAGCAGACATAATTTGTCACTTTTTCGCTAGGTAGCCTTGGGCAAGTTGTCCCCCTCTCAGCTTGCTCCATAAAATTGGGATAACAAAGATATCAATCCTATCCAACATTTAAGATATCTTCACTGGCAATAGACTAGACATTATTCTAGACTCAAAAGGTTAGAGGATTGGGGCACCTAAGTGGCTTAGTCAGTTAAGTGACCCAGTCTTGATTTAGGCTCAGGTCATGATTTCAGGGTTGTGAGACTGAGCCCCACGTGGGGATCCATGCTGGATGTGGAGCCTGCTTAAGCTTCTCTCTCTCTTCCTCCCCATCTGCCCCTCCCCCCAGCCATTTGCAGGTGCATGTGTATGCATGTGTGCACTCTCTCTCTAAAAAAATAAAAATAAAATAAAATAAAATATTAGAGGATTATATAAGATGGTACATATGAGTGGTAAATGGCATTAATGTACCATTTATATGTACCTTAATATCTAATAAGGACTTTCTGTATTCCCTACTCCTGCCAAGCTTCTTGTCTGTTAAGAATGTTTCCCTACCCCTTGTTAGGCTTGATCACATGACTTGTTCTGACCAACTGACATGAGCAGACATACACATACCATGTCCCCACAGAAGCTTTAAGTGTGCTTTCTTTTTCCACCCTGCTACTTGACAACAAAATATGTCAGGTAAGACCTTCGTCCTTTAGCTTTGGTCCCACATAAACAGGAAAGAAGGAACAGAAATACACAGCTTGAAGCTCTATAGAATTAAAAAGAGCTATGGACAAGAAACACGTACTTTTGCCATTATTGTTCTCTGCCCACCCACATGCTTGAGAGCAAGAAATAAATGCTTGAATTTATAAGCCACTGAGGTTTGCCTTTCAACAAAAGCTAGCCTATGACGGTGTCCTGCATATAAAAATAATACTTGAGCAATAATAATAAACTAAAATATATATCAAAAGTATATAAAACACTTCAAAAGATACAGGCATCTATCCATCTATGTACCCATTTATCCAACAAATGTTAATATTGAGTAATATTATGTGCCAGATACTGTTTAAGCTCCTGGAGATAAGACAGTGATCAGATAAAATCCCCGGTTGCCATGCAGCTAACATTGTTGGGGAAAACAGAAATAGAACCATAAGGGTGACAGGCGTTGTAGAGAAAAATAACACAGGGGAAGGAGAAAGAAAATATCAACAAAGAGACTCTGTGTGTGCGTGCGTGCGTGCGTGTGTGTGTGTATGTGTAGTGTTCAGAGAAGTCTCTACTACTGAAAAAAATTTAGAGCAGATCAGAAAGAAGTAAGAAAGGGAGTCAAGTGCCTATCTAAGGAAAGCACATGTCGGGATGAGGGACAAGAAGGTGTAGAAGCCCTGAGGCATAAGTGGGTTGGAGTATTTAAGGATTAGCTGAGAGGCCTTGTAGTTAAGAGGAGTCAAGTAGAGGCCCAGGCGTGGCAGGTGAAGTCCGGGAGGTACGAGGGCACCAGGCATGCATGCCTTGGAAGTTACTGTAGAATTGGCTTTTGCTCTCAATGAAAGAGGATATCATAGGAAGACTCTGATGATAGGAAGACATGATCTTTTATCTAAGTTTGAAAAAGATCATTCTGCCCGCTGTTCAAGAACAGATTATATTCTCAAGTGTAGAAGCAGAGATCATTTAAAAGGCAACTATAATAATCCATGCAGACACAGTGGTGGCTTGGACCAAAGTAGTTGACTCTGGATATATCTGCAGCTAGTGGCAACCCAGATTTGTTCATGAAAAATACACAAATAGAAATAAACTGTCATTTATGAGATAGGCAGGCACAGAAGAATGGCAAGATCAGAAGGACAAGTAGTAACCAAGAATTCACTTGCAGCCAGCAAGAGATAAGGGTAAACTTGTTGAATTCTGATTTCCTTATTGCTGGCCTTGTCCAGAGAGAGATTTTGGTTTTCTGCAGAGTTCTTTGGAAACCACTACACAGAGTGGTTAAGGGAATTAATCCTGCCAGGATGACGAGGTGGAAGATGAGAGCTGAGGCTCATAACTACAATGAACAGAACTGGAGTCCAGCCCTGAATATGTCCAGGGAGGGGCTGGTGCTCTTCTGACCAGTAACACTACAGTGATGGGGTGAGGCTGGAGGTTAAGTTTTCAGCACTTGAGAGTGCTCTCTAGATGGATTATTGCAATTGATTTTTTTTTTAAGATTTTATTTATTTATTTGACAGAGGGAGACACAGAGAGAAAGGGAACACAAGCACGGGAAGTGGGAGAGGGAGAAGCAGGCTCCCCACTGAGCAGGGAGCCTGATGCGGGGCTCGATGTGGGGCTTGATCCCAGTACCCTGGGATCATAACCTGAGCCGATGGCAGACACTTAAGGACTGAGCCACCCAGGTGCCCCGGCAATTGATTTTTAAATTACTCTGCCTCTGATCTCTTCAGGAAGGAAGCTGTGCTCCCCCCTTGCTGTGCAATTTAAGGCTCCAGCCTCAGAGCCCAAGAGCTTGATAACCAGTCCTATTAGATTGCTACGTACTGCCTGGAAGGCACTTTGCCTGGGGTGTTTGTTTTAGTTTTATTTTAGTTTACTGTAGGCTTGTTTTAGGTTATTTCCCTTCATTATCTCTGAGATGTCTACCAGACATCTAAGTTGAGATGTGCATTAGGTAGTTAATACCTACGTCTGGATTTCAGGGTAAAGGTTGAGAATGCAAATATAAATCTGGAAAATATATATTTGTTTTTTTTTTTTTTTAATAAAAGAAATGTGTAACAAAGAGAAGAAATGGTTGATAAAAATCCTTGGGAATATTTAGTGTTGCTTGACAGGAAAATATCTCTGAAGGTAATGGAAGATTAATACACTCTCCAAAACAATGTAATTATAAGGCGCCAATTTGGTTATTATAACCTCTCAAATATAATGGAATTATGGTTTAATTTCAGACATGATTTCCTAATATTTTCCACATGATGAGACAGAAGCACAGCTGATTCAAACCTCTCTACTATGTTTGCAAAGATATTAAGACTAATTACTAGCAAAGATGCAAAATAATCTTTCCCAGGGTTAATATACTAGTAGAATAGAAGTAAGGGTATTTTTAGAATATTGTGGAAATGAAATATTGATTTTCTCAACAGCTGTTTTTTTTGAGTAAACAGGTTTGAAAATACTCATATATTAAAATATTCTTCCTTACCAGGGTAGAGGGCACAGCCCATGAATGACAAATCATCGATTGCAATGTCTCCAGTAAAGCCATCTCCTACTGAAGCCTCCACCAAAATCTAAGAAAAATACAAGAAATCTGTTGATACTGTGAAGGACATTAATTTATGGAAACTCGCGGTAGAAAAAAAATCAGAATTTATTTAAAGAGAAATTTCTTCTGAACCATTAAAAAAAATACTTTCCAGTAGTGTCCCTAAATAGGCATCTTATCGCTACCTAGATAATTCCAGTAACAGGAAGCTCCATTCCTTAGTGGGCCCATTAGAACCACGAAGCCCGTTGTGTTTCTAGTGATTTTCCGAAACTGTAATAGATCAGATTTATATCTACTTCCCTATAACTTTCCTTTAGTTCTAGACTCACCCCATTTTTTTCTTTCCTGATCCTTTGAGTATCTGAAGGCAAATCATCATCTCTTTTTCCCACATTTGCCCAAGGAGTTCATCTGTTTCCAAGGTTAAACCCCCTCACTGTTCAAGAAATTCAATTTGTGGGCAGAGGTACTTGCCAGAATGCACATTTTTAAGAGCTTTAGAATTTTTCTCACACTGACCTTATTCTGTAACATTTTATGAAACTGGCTAATCGTTATTAGATCTCCTTCAGAACTGCATTAATCACAGCAAATTCTGATGACATCTGTGCGGTTCCACGAGCAGAAATTCCACCAAACCTCCAGGAAAACATGAAATACTGACAAACCACTACAGTATATGGCAGATTGTGATTAGGCCTGAAATTTACTATAATAGAATTAATCATGATAAATTATTTTAATACTTATGCAAATACACTGCATACTGAATAGGAATCCTGCTATAATTTAATAATGAAGAACTTGAAGCAAACTCGAAAAACACATTCTGTTTTCCCACTATTATATGAATATATGTTTCTGTTGCATTTTTCCTCAGAAATGCTATATGGGAGAGTTGAAATTTTATTTCATTTTTTTTTTTAATTCTTAGCTTCTATTCAAACTTGTCTCACACATTATTTATGGATGTCTTAGTTGGAG